CCATCCATGTTCTCTCAGAGCTCAAAAAGAGGATTAAGGGCATTTTTTTTAGTATAGGGTAAGTAAGGTTGTTATCACATTACGTTACAAGACTGCTTTGTTTTAGATAAATGCAATGAAGAGCAGAGATTTCATATGTCTGTCTGGTTTTTTTTTTTTTTACCAGTGAGGAGGAACGGATGAGTTAAGACAGTGGAGAGGCAGAATGGAGGAGTAGGGTTATACACGTGTTCACATTGAATACAGGTCAAGATAAATCATCATATGAACATTCCATGTGTCTCTCCTGCCACTTCAATGCTTTGTTGTCTTCAGGACAATAATTATGTGTGATGGAAAAACAGAAGATAAAAATAAATGGAAAGTGTCAGACCAGACGCCACAGTGTAGCTGTGAGACAGACAGAAGTGACCAGAGCAGAGCGAGACAGTGGAGAGACAGAGTGGAGGAGGAGGGCTCAACCCATGTGTTTATATTAAATACAGGTAAATTATCCTATGTGCAGTTTTGTGTGTCCCTCCTATTCTTCATTGTGTTTTTGTACTACTCATTAGGACACATCAGATGCCAAAAGTCCCAGAAAAATACCAAATGCTGGAAAAAATGAAGGATCCCTGACCAGAATCAAAACACATGCCATTTCAGATGCCAGAAAGCCAGAAAGACACTACAAAGGTGATGCCATGGCAGATTCCAGTCCGGACGTCACAAAACATACGCCAGACCAGAAGCAATAAACGGCCTGATGGAAAACCAGATGCCAAAAAAACAAAAACAAATGCAAGAACTGGTGTTAGACCAAATGCCAGTAAAAAGGCAGACACGGAGGTAAACCAATAGACAAGATGCCTGACTAGATGCCACTAGAAAACCAGATGGAAGACTAGATGTTACAATGACACATGCTAAACCAGATGACACCAACCAGCTGAGAGACGGGTGGAAGTGGAAGACAGTGGAGAGACAGAGTGGCGGAGGAGGGCTATATCCATGAGATCATATCAAATACAGGTAAATCACCATGAGTGCATTATTGTGTGTCCCTCATCCTCTTCATTGCCTTCTTATTCATAGGGCACAGCCGATGCCAGAAAAAGTCCCAGAAAAAAGGCCAGATCAGATGTTGCAAAACATCAGGAAGAACAGATTACTTAAAACTGTTGCCCGACCAGAGGCCACATTTAGATCTGATGCCTGACTAGATGCTACAAAAGACCAGCTGAAAGACCAGATGTTACAAGTAATGACAAATGCCAGATGCTACAAACCAGCTGTGAGACGAATGGAAGTGACCAGAGCAGTATAAGATAGTGGAGAGACGGAGTGGAGGAGGAGGGTTTTGCCCATGTGATCATATCAAATGCAGGTAAATCATCATATGAACTTATTAATATGTTGCTCCTCCCACTTCATTGCATTTTTTCTTAATCATTAGGACACATAAGATAAAAGACAAGGTCACAGAAAAATGCAAAACCAGATGTTGCAAAAGTTGAAAGATGCCAGACCAGATGTCACTAGAGATCCAGAGGGCAACATTATGGCTGAGTGGATAGCAAGAAGGTCCTGGGTCCTGGGTTCAAATCCTACACTAAAAACATGTGGCATAATCCTCCAGCTCTGGTAGTCCTGACCAAGCGCCTGCTCCTCTTTGCTCTTCTCCTCCTAAGCCCTCCTCTGCCCCTCCTCCTCCCGTCTTCAGCTCACCTGTCTTACAGAGTCTTGGTTCGCTCCTCTTCCATGCATCCGGAAAGTTCTCAACCCTCTTGAAGGAGAAGCTAGACTGTCTGAAGGATGTTCTGAGCTTTCGGAGCACACAGTCCCCACTGACTGAGGATCTGGTGGAGGCTCTAAGAGCAGACTGACTTTTCATCATGAGCCATTCTGTTGATAAATGCTTGAATTATGAAAAATATATCTTGTTTTTTTTATATTTTGACTGACAAGGAATGTTATGCTTGTTCTATTGACACACCTAGACAAATCTAGTCAAAATGTGATCAACCACTTTTTGTTTGAAACCTAACTTTCAAACAACAAAACTGAACTTTATCATTAAATCCATCAAACAAGTTCCTCACTCTCAGTTAAAGGTCAAGGCGTGTATTTTTTGGATTAGGTTTCAGAAAGAAAAGTGAACAAGAAGACCACCCACTCAGTCAATCAGCTCTGAACCCAAAGTATCAAATAGTGACTCACAGGGCTTTTTATATCAATTACGCGAAAGATAAAATGTACAGCATTCCCATTAATGTTAAAGAACTGCATGGTGTGGTCTGATTTGTCCACAATATGCTCTCCATTGGGACAAATACAATGGATAATTTATGAAAAAAACATTGTATAACAGCAACAAATTGTAGGCGAAAACAGGTAAAACAATTATGGTTGATGACAATAACACTGGACGACTTGTACATGTTGTGACAAAATGGAACACAGAGGTCTGAACAACTATTTGAAGCAATAGGAAACAGTCCTTCTCCAAAAATAATTACCAAAAGGAGTGACGACCTGAGTGACTTTTCTGGAGATCGTTGCACTATTGAATTTGAAGACAAACAACAAACATAAATATCCATAACCTAAAGGCAAATTACCCCCTGCAGAAATTAACATAGCAGGTTAATTAAAATCTGGTAAGACTTTGTTATTTCACTTTTGTTAAATGTCTTCGTGAACATGATTCAGTGGTTAATAGAGGCCTGTGTGTGTCTCCACTCTGGCATATGGACTAGAGACATGAATGATCACACTGCATTATGGGGAATTAGAAGAACATCTGCTCCTGATTTTACAGATGTGAACTTAAAACAAACATTTGTTGGTTTCCTTAGCGACAGAATGAGATACAGCTATGTACATATGTAAGGTCCTAAAAAAGGCAGAGGATTTAAAAATGGGAGGAATCCGAGACAAGGAAAAACTTTAATTAAATGTAATTGACCCAAAAAGCTTGGCAGCACGACAGAACTATACAATGTATTGCTTCACACATACTGTATGTAAAGGAAATCCAGTGATATGGCAAATATTTGTATTATTTCCATAAAACGGCCATTAGCAATACTTCATTATTGACAGTTTCTAATAATAGAAAACAAGATTAAGTGACTGAAATCCAGATACCTTCTTATTGCAATCCATCATCAGTAAAAGCTTTTGGACAATGTCAACATACATTTAATAATTCAATGTTGACCACACAACTGTAATTCAAAATATTTCATCCTGTGATCAAATCAAAGCTGGAATATTTGTTTTGTATGACACATATGTGTTTTCCAAACAGAATGTTGTGAATAAAATAGACTACAACATGCTTATTAGAAAACACTTTCTTTTATATCCTTTACATACTGATTTGCTGAGGGAGGGTTGCCTCTTATTCACTGAAAAAGCTGATCTAAAGTGATCTATAACTTCAAATCAATTCCATTAAATTAAATGTATTCTTGAACAGCCTTAAGTCACAACAGTAGTTATCTCGGAGGACAACAAAACCATTGAATTTGCCAACACCAATCAGAGAATCAAAAAGTTCAAACACAACAAATGCTATGATAAAAAACACAGAGCCACTGGTCCAAAAGGGGCAGAAGAAACTTGTGATAAAATCAAACTGTTGTGAGAGTGAGGAACTAGTTGCATGGATTTCATTCTATTTGTAGTTGTTTTTAGGTACACCAGCTTTAAGTTTCCTGTAACATGTGGCTTGTTTACACTTTTAATCATTAATAGCGTTAATTAAAATCTTGAAGTATTACATATTCAATGCAGGTGTTGCGCTGGCCTACCTCCATAGACAGTAACAAAGCTGGAATATTCTGCGCCACACAGACCCACAAGGTCAGTGGCCAGCGCTGTGCTCCCTGTGAGAGTCTGTTCATGTAAATACAGGCTTTATCCTCCCTGCCCCTTCACCTAACAGTCCCCAGCTGTCTAAATCTGTTTGAAAACAAGAAAGATGACAGTGAAGACTCTGCATTGGGCGCAGTACAACTCAAACACCCGCCCACCCAGCGGCATCAGCACGTAAAGCTGATGAGTGGATTAGGCTGATCCCAAATCCAAACGATGAGACCTCCCCACAGATACAGGAGGAAATGGCAAAATAGTTGAGTTACTTTGAAGACATTTTTTTACATAATGTTCTAAGATTAGGATTGTAATGTTTACTTTCTCGTTCACTGTAAAAAGTGGCCCCCTTAAAAAAAGCTACAATTGGAAGAAATGTACTTGTTTCAAGCTAAATGATCTGTCAGTGGATTGTGATTTTTCCACTTAATAAGATTGTTAAGTAGTAGTAGTAGTAGTAATCTTTATTTATATACCGCCTTTTCACTGCACATCGGGGTCTCAAAGCGGTTTACAATTATTATTTTTGGGAACGGGGGTGCCAGTACAGGAGGCACATGCCAGACCTATTGTACATATTTTTAGTGGTAGGGGAAGCACCCGGAGGAAACCTACGCAGACACAGGGATAACATGGCGCCGTAAAGATGGCGCCGTGGCAAGAGCTCTGGTGTGTGTTGTCTGGTGCACACTGGGGTAGTTTTGCACAGTTTTTCCTATGTGGTTTTACTGCAAATGGCAAATAAATTAATCTGAATCTGAATCTGAATCTGAACATGCAAACTCCACTCAGAAAGGCCCTGGTCCAACCGGGATTCGAATCCAGGACCTTCTTGCTGAGAGGCGAGAGTGCTATCCACTCAGCCACCGTGCCGTGCCGTTAAGAAAAAAATAAGAATAACAAGTAATATTATCTTGAGCCTGCATGAGTAAAACAGTCCCAAAAACGTGTGATTAGATAAATATACTAAACTTGATAAAATCAAACGAACTGCACTAGTCTTACTTTTTGCAGTGTTTCATAAAGCCTTTTGCGTCGTGCAATACAAATACATTGGCCTTTGTCCTATCAACAAAATGGTTTCAACTTCACCAGATTTAAATAAAAAATGCTACTCAAAAATGGTTTCCGTTCTCACTCACCTTTTTCTTTTCTTTCAGGTCGTACAAGGCCATTGTGGCGAATATGGGCTCAATGTCAATCTCGAACCTAAGACAAAATAGAATATTTTTTACACACATCATACTATATACCAAGAAGAATGCTCAATTTCTTTGGTGTCTTTGTTTGTCCCTTTTTTCCTTGCTTTGTGTTTTATTTTGTTATGCTTATATCTCTGATTGTCTTGATTTTTATTGTCCTTAATTAAATAAAAAAACAACAAAAAAACATGTCCATTCTGTTAAATACAACCATACAGCCCTGCACATTTTTTCTGGTTAAGTCCATTTCTGTATATTATTGTACGGGACACTAAAAAAGTAAACTACAGTAAGTAATAACATGCTAGAATAGGATTATAAAAGAAGGTCTAAACAAGCATTTGGCAGTCTCAGGAAAATGAAGATTGAAAGGAACAAGAAATCTATCCAAGAACAAATCCCTTAGAGAGAGGGAGGAAGCAAGTTCTCTTCACATAAATTCCTTTTAGAAGCATGCACATTATGTTGGGGCCAATGGAGATTAACGATCAGTCTTTTTTGACAAAGAATACTGGGTCATTTGTCTAATTTAACATCTGTAACAAAGTGAATGTGTAAATACGGGCAATGTCAAATCAATAACATTGTTTTGATATGTGTGCACATATATGATTTTATAGCCCAATCCTTTCCTTTGGGTTTAATACAGTTATATCAATTCAAATCTGAATGGGGAACAGTAAATAGACACAGATTTCAGGATAATAACATTAAACAAAACCAATAAGATGTTGGGAACATAGTGTGGTATAAGAGTCAAAAAATCTTAGGGTTAGGGTTATAGGATTAGGCTTATTGAACATGCACAGAAAGAATCCAAGGCACTCTGGTTATAAAATATTAAAAAGCCTTTATTATGACTGTTTTTGTGTAAACCACATATTCCGCGTTATGTACAATTGTGATAGAGAGAAAGAATCCCGCACACCGACTGACGTTTCGGCGTTATGCCTTCATCAAGCAAAACATGTGCGAATCCCTACCCCAGTCATTTAGCTTTGCCGCGTTTTGTACAATTAACATGACAGCCATGTAAATATGCCGGATTGTGGTTTGCGATGGCCATCAGGGTCTGGAAATTCTCAGTATGACATTATAACATTCTTGCAAGCGTTCATCCAATTACAGGATTAAAACAAATACATAAATTGAGGAGTGTTTTTTTCCTCTCCACAGATCTGAAAAGTAACTTAATTTGTAGGTGTTTGGTCACGGGTCTCTATCGCCCCCACCCTGACGTCTGCTTTTACAAGAATGTCTGACATTAGGGTCAACACAATCAGTCCTGTTGTCCGAGTTGGGCCAGACACGGAGGACATATGGGACCCTCCTACACAGATCATGTAAATATGTTGTGAATATGCGTGGCATGTACTTGATAGCTTGGCACCGGATGAGAATGCGGTCTCCTGTGTGCTCTTTGGGACAGTCTGGGATGGGCCGGATCTCCACTGCATCTTCCTGAGAGAGAAATTCAGAAAAATACCATCTTTAGGTAATAATAAGATATGATGCATTGGTTTTATATAACGCATTTTTGGACACTTAAAGACCCTTCACTCCGTACATGGTGATGAGAAACTACTGTCGCCACAGCTGCCCTGAGACAAACCAGTTGCCATTAGACCACCCTCAGAGCACCCCCAATCAATCACGCACACACCAGACTCATTCTAGGCAATGCCACTGTGCACTTGGTGTTGCAAAAAAATTACAGATATTACTGATTTGGAATCATATAGCATTATGTGGAAAATATCAGAATGAATACATTGGAATCAGTAAATTCATTCATTTGGGTTCATGTTATTTCTAAATGACAGTACTTTATGTTAATTGAAAAAGATATTTGCTATGATGGTGTTAAAGTGTCTATATTGTATATTGTAAAGAAATTTATTTATATATTTCGACCTTCAGGCCTGAAGGTCGTGGGTTCAATTCCCACCTCGACACCTTCTCCACCGACTCCCACTGATGACTGCTGTCATTGTGTCCTTGGGCAAGACACTTAACCCTTAGAGCAGCCGTCCTCCTGTGGACTCACCACCTGCAGAGGGTCAGTGAGGGGCTGGTGCTATGAGACTTGGGTGGCATCTCTGATTGCCACCCCCCTGACCCAGAAATGAATTAAAGGGTAGAAAATGGATGGATGGATGGATGGATGTATTACATATCCTCACTCTGCTGCTGCATTTACAGTAGTAAATTGTACTGTGTAGAATATTGTACTGAACCTCTGCTGATGTTTACAAAGATAATTCAGATTATGTGCTCTTTATTCCTATTGTTTGTAAAGTGCAATGCAACACTTAGCATTTCCCTGCTGGGGAATGTATAAAAGATCTATGTATTATTTTTATGTACTCACAACTAGGGCTGTCAAAATCATTGCGTTAACGCACATGAATAAAAAAAAATCATTAATCGCGTAAAAAATAATTACGTGATTGACGCATGCCCATGCATCCCATAATAACACTATGAATGTCACAGACATATGCGTGTGTGAGATGGTGACATAGCAGTTAGGCCCTCTGGGAATCCATGTTTTAAAAGAACACCCGCGTGACCGTGGGGCACTAGCTGCTGTTTCCTGAATGAACTCTGCGACAGCAGTTGTGATCACGGGCTGAAGCTGGACTACGGAGCCTCAGTCTCCTCAGTGTCTTCTCCCGAAGCGCACTCGCTATATTAAAGCTGGGGTACCTAATTTTCCCCTCCACTACCAGTTCATGTTGGTTGTGCCAAAAAAAGTAATGGTGTGAGCAAATCAAACAGATTTAATGACATTCTGTATTTCAGACTGTTTTAAAATGTCCCTCATCTGTAACAAACTATGGTTTTGGTCTGAGTCTAAACAGAAAGACAGAATGTTAATAATGTTAATGCCATTTTATATGGATTTATTGTATAAAAAACAAAAACAGTACATGTACACTATGCAGTCATTAATCTTTCCATTCAAACAACCATTTACAGAAATGCGATTAATTACGATTAATTAATTTTTAAGCTGTAATTAACTCGATAAAAAATGTTAATCGTTTGACAGCCCTACTTACAACACATGACCTCGAACCCCCTTTTGAGAACTTAATGCTCAAACTAATCTCAATCTAAATAAAGTCTATGTATTTCTGTATAGACCTAAATCACAAAAGCAATTGTATAAAGATTTGTATGCATACTTTTTTATCTATGGTTTGCTTTTAATATCTTGTTTGCACCATATGCTAAAGCAAATTCCTATTTTGTGACATGTTGTTACTTTAAATGACAATAACTAAATAACTGGAGTAGGGATTCGCACATCAATACCTACAGATCGGGTGAGTAGGAGGAGAGGCCTGTATAGCCTAATGTCAAATTATTAATTTATTTGCAAGTAAGACGGTGTGCAGGATTTCTCTCTCTTTAATAACTAAATAAAAATAAAAAAACACCACAAAACAGTCACCCAACAGTCCTATTTTTAAAGTTTAAAGCCATCACTCCTCTCATGTGTACCTCATCAGCTGGGGGGCACAGTGCGAACAGCTCTGGGTGTCTGTTCCCATGTCGGGCCTCTTGGTTGAAGCGGTCCAGCTCCTCGTGACTGCTGAACGCCATGAGCCCCTCCAGTCTGGGGTCCGCTGTCAGACACCGGAGGTCAAAGTCTGTGGAGGTCAGCGAGCGGCCGCAGTCATCGCTCAGCGCGGCCAGAGACGGAGACTTCACCTGGGGCAAAGGCACAGCAGCAGAGGGGGTGGGTGCAAACGAAACACAACACGACAGAAATGTATGAGGGGAACAGATACAGGAAATAAAAGATAGTAGAAAGTTGAACGTTCAGGAAACTAAGAAAATTAGAATATCGTTCAAAGGTCCATTTATCTCTGCATCTCAACTTAAAATATGAAACCAATATAATGATGAAATGTGGCGAAATGTTGAAAGGTTCAAGGGGCGAATACTTTCGCAAGGCACTGTATCGACTCATTAGATGCAAAGAAATATATGCCAAGCCTGTGTTTGATTATTTTTCGGGGGGAGTTTATAAGCAGTGAGCCAATAATCAACATTTATAACAAATAAAGGCTTGATATAAATCTCTTTTTGGATGTATATATGGGTCATATATTAGTTTTGCATTGTGAGTTGACTTTTGAACAATTGTAATTTCCACCTCTATGCGGTGAGTTTAGAAGTGTTTACAAAAGCTTCAGTGACACATTGATCCTGTCATGGTGTGGACTTCCAGTTAATAATCTGGTTTTATTATGACATATTTTTGTTCTCTTGTCATGAGTTTTTCTTCCTGTCTGTTGATTGTTTGCCCCCCCCTGATGTGCTACACCTGTGTCTACCTGTGTGTATTTAGATCCTGTTCTTCAGTCTTTTTGTTGTCGGCCCGTTGTTGTTTTCCGCCCATGTCTTGTTCCCGGTTTCTGTTTTAACTTTTTGTGGCATCTCTTAAATTATTTTATTTTTGCAGTTCTGCTTTTGGGGCCTTCCTTGTTTATCCGTGGCAGATCCACCCTTGCTGTGTGGAGGGGGGGTACTGCAGGTCTACTCTTCCTGGTGCAGTCAGACTGTACAATGAACAATGAACACTGACACCCCTGTACATGTCATTTCATCTGTAATAACAATGTGCAGTACTGGGGTAATCAGTAATATTGTGCAATACGGTATCACAATGTGTCCAGTGGTGATTCACTGGGGCATTTTTCACACTACCACGAGTGAAATGGCCGATATTTATCTTTTTAGGTTGGGACAAAATAACCACTAACTTGAAGAAATGTATGCTTTTTTACGTTTACTATTTTTTTTGAGTCATTGCCTTTAAACCCAAGTGTTACATTTACATTTCTGCTTAACATGCAGATTTCCGTTTTTTAAAGAGTGCTTAGCCATACGCTTTATATGCACATTGTTAGCATATGTAAACAAAGGGAAAAAAACAAGTCTAGACTGCTTCTGTTTTGGCCTGGAGACAAAATAATTGTCTCTTGGGTTTTGCAAGTCATGTGTTTTCCTCCATGAAATTTGAAATAATGTGTGTACTCTGCATTTCTTTGATGGTAGTTGGACATTTCATATGCTCTGACATGCTTGGTTATTACGAATATTATTACTTTAGCATTAAAACACTTTCAGTTTCTTCAGTATTTTATTTTTCACATCATAATAAGGGTATTAGTTACTTGTCAATGATGTATTGATGGGTACAACATTAGCTAACCAAGGATTTGTAATCAGAGACCTCCCAGCAGACTTTGGGCTTTTCCATACAAAATGAAAGCATCGAAGAGACAAGAGTGGATTGGTCTGGCCCTAAAGCTATAATAAATCTCAAAATTAGGCTCAGGAAATGCAGCAAATAGAGATGCTTCCAGCAAAACAACTCTAGATCGTTTGGGGATTTTAAAATTGCACTGCTAAGCTAAAAGAGAGAATTAGATTTTATAACATACATTTGTTTTCTTTGTCAGGCGAGCACATAGAGCACATAAGGGCAAGAAGCTGGGCAGTTCAGTGAGGCAGTGATATGGGGTTTAAAAGTGCAGTGCTGTATTCAATGTCTGGATTTTTCATGTCATTATTTGATCTTTCTTGCAACTGAACTTGGCAATGTTCCATGATGAAATATATTCCAGGTGCTTTGATCACTTGATGCTTGCAGTGAACAGACCTTTCCCAGAGATAGTCTTACAATAATAATAACATGCAATGACCTGTTCGTGGAACAAGCAGGTGGCTCTCTTACATCATGCACCGCTATAATCAAAATAGAAAACCTCCTCTTCCTTAAGGAGTTTTTCTAAATGTTAGGGTTTGGCAAAAATGACACATCTTTAATAATGTGATCCAGCATCCTTATAAGAGATCCTTTATTCCTCCCACAGTGGGGAAATTTCAATGTTGCAGCGCACATGCAGGACAGTAATAAGAGCACACACAATATGAGTAGCTGCTATGTTTCTTAGCTAGCTGTAAATGCTTCAATATCAATCTTTCGAAATATCTCTATGTATACAGTATATTGCAATAGTGCAGTATAGTTATATACATATAGGGCAGGGTAATAAGTAGATAAAGTGACAATCAGTGGACATTCTTGCAGTATTGCGCATTGCACATGATTGCAGTATGTACGTATTTACAGATGAATGACATGTTCAGGCTGAGTGGTTCTCATTAAACAACACCTATAGGCATTCAATAATAAAAACAAAGCCCTGTGTCCTTGACTGTTTAGCTGCCACCCTGCATCAATCTGCTGCACCACCACAGGCCAATAGTGACCAAAGACACAGCCTCATCACACACAGGGGCCCCTCAAGGCTCTGACACTAAAATCAGCTTCAGTATTACGTTGTGAACAGAACTCGTCAGTCTCTCTCGTTTGTCTCTGACACATCCACGTCATGGGAAGCCCGGAGCTCTAATGGATCGTTTGTTTTGGTCCGATTGAGAAAGAGAAGAGGGGGAGGTGGTGCTGTGGGAGGGTGGATGGGGAGAGAGCCAGTGAGAGAAGCACTGAGCTGCACTGGTTTAGCTGGCATTGCTAATGGGAGTGTAACTATGAGACAAAAGAGTTGGCGAAAGTGCAGTGAGAACGAAGCAGGGAGCTGGATGGAAATGGCTGAGAAAGTACTCATTAATTAATAAAAATATATATATTACTAGGTTTTAGAGTGGAACTAACTATTCTCATATTAGGAATATTCTACGTAAAGGTGCATTCCTCAAAAGTCCTGGTTGTGGGCCAGCTTCATGTTTGGTTTCTATAGTTTACTTTTACATTAGAAACAAGAACTGACTTCACTCAGCCAAGTTGCAAGTTACATCTTTTCACAGTTTTTAAAAGCACTAAAACCCTCAATTTTTTTATTCAGACTATTTCAGACTCAAATTCAATACATCCATTAAACCTCTGTTAAAACAGGGACTCACAGCAAGGCTGAATAACAAGTCCTAACAAGCAAGGAAGAAAGGTTCAATTCTATACTGGGAAACATTGAGATAAACAAGGCTCAAACAGAAAAAGTTTAAAATAGCATGTTTGTGTTTATACTTACTGGTGTATGCTGTTTATCAGGCTGTACGTCCGACTCAAACGTCTGCTTGCGGAGGAGTTTGTGGAGTCCGGCTCGCTCAGAGTACGAGCTCCAGCCATCGCCCTGGCACCTGCACGAAGACGGGAATAACCGCAGACACATAGGGATGACTGTCACATCAATAAGAGGAATGACTGAATGTCCTATTCCTCAAATCACAGAGCAGAATAAGAAAATAACATGGACTCAAGCAGACATTGTACAGGTATACTTGGTTAATACTCAAGGTACGTTTGGTGATTACTTCCAAGATTTGGGGAATCTTAGTCGATCACATTGTTTATTAGTAGACTAAACATGGAAAATTGAGCAGGAAAGTTAATTCACATTGTCACATTTTACTTTAATATTCAAGCCAGATCAAACATGTTTATGCCTAAACATTTGCAATGACATGATATTAAAGGTATGTCAGGACCACAAAGGTCAGAGAGAACTTTTGAGATATTTTGCCACACCCCATTTTAATCAACTAATTGATCAAAAAGACAGATCTTTAGTCGACCAATAATTTATTTGGATTTGGCGAAGGGCTGATAAAACTCCTGGACCACAAATTTTTTTCAAATCTGTTTTTCTTCTAACTAAAATGATCACATTTTTTTTTAGACATTCTTACAATCACATTTAATTATTTTTTTAGCTTTCGAATTGTTGGTTATATAATAGTGTTCTACAAAACCTTAACTCCTGATTATGAGTGAATAAATGTGTTCACAATGGGTTCTGAACTTATGAAGAAGTGGACACTATTTAAAGAAACAAAAACTTCCTGTTATAGTTACATGCAAATTCCTTGACAGGTTCTTTCCAGAGTTCAAAAGGTGATATGTAGAAATACGTGTTAAACAGCTCAAACTACTTGTAAAGAAGAGGGTTTTATTAGTCATGAATGAATTACAAGTTTTGATTTCGGCCTGGAACAACAGACAAATATATTTAGCAGATTAGCAAACTTAAACTTAAATAAATAACCACAATATTGGGAACCAAACTCATGCATGCTGCCTTCTTCTTCAATGCAATATTGGTGTCGTGGTAAAACTGACAAACATCCATCCACATTTCTGCTGTTTTAAATGTCTCCTGTTTAGTATTGTGCATAGTTTTTTTGTAACTTTTTTTGTAACACAGAAATCGTAAGTCCCAGTTTTAACCTCTATAAAGTCTTAATGAATAAAAACAATTCTTATATTGTTGGCCTGTTATAGAGTTCAGAGTTTGTTTTTCTCACTGCTAGAACTATGTTTCTTATCACAAGGCTCCGACAAGGTCAAATATCTTGAATCTCATAAACACTATTTACCTTCTGGTGACGACAATCCAAGGCTGGGTGTAACTCTGAACGCAGTCTCTGACGTGGGGATCCAACTCCACACTAGAGATGGAGCAGCACAAATGAATAACAAAGTAGTATATTAGCATGGTGGTGAACAAAGAAGATTTACACACTGCGTTGTCCCTATACATTTCATGGAACAAGATAAAAATCAAAATGACAGTATAAACAAAGGTCTCTTTCTCGTGTGTGTGTGTTAAACGTGGTAGTCAACTATTTACATGCACATATTTGCTGATTATAAATGGCCAGACATAATGCTACACAACATACTGTAGAGTTATTGTATCAATGTCACATAAGAGATCATAAATCCTATTCTTATGATAAATGACAGCAGCTATATGCAGTAGTTCACAGGCAGTTCATTCTCAGTGCAGACCTCTCTTTGAGCACAACTGAATTAGACAATGGAGCTGCAATTTAGGCGAGGCTTATAGTTCCCGGAAGTAAAAATATCCACTCAAAATCCTTTAATAATTCTTATAAAAAATGCAAAACTTGATTGGGGTGATGAGTGATCTAGGGAAAAATTACCACAAGACCTACTTGAAACCTACTTGAATCGCTTAAAACCTCAAAGCGCAGAATGTGTAATTGTGCTTTTTGGGCTGACAACAATAATGCAAAGGTAGTGACCAGTAGTAGTGATAGTAGTGACCAGATCGCTAGTTAGCACCATAGTGTCTTCAGTGTTATTCAGATGTTTGGAAGTTCCGCCCACTTAGCAGCTCCATATATCTCACCACTAAGATAAATCTCTCGAACTGTATGGACGTACCCCTCCTCAGGGACGGAGTGTCGGACCGTGCGGCACTCCCTCTCCACCTGCTCCACGTTCAGGTCGTCGTTGGGGAAGTCTCCAAGCTCCTGCATCAGGCTGGAGTCTCCGCTGTGTAGCTGTGACATCAGGAACTCCTCCAGGTCAAGGGGCTCCACCGCCTCGTACGACTGCGGCTGGAGAAACACATCCATAAAATGTGAAAGGTTAGCTTTCATAAATGTTTTCCACCATTCCTCAGCTGTATTGGAATGCTGGTTCCACTGACTGCACTCAAATCAATGTGATATAGATGATTTATGGAGTAGCATGAAATAGTGCGAGTCATGTTTCGTGATTTAGAGTTTGGAGACATTTAGAAGAAGACTTTTGAAGAAGGATAAGTTCACCAAACAGACGTGGTTGTTTCCTTTTTCATTGTCAATAATCAAATTAAAAGGAAAAATATCAGGTCAAGCTTGAGCCAATCATGCAATGATACAGGTATGAAAAATCTGACAGAAAACCTGCACTCTTGCTGTGAAAGGCGTTCCCAGAGGTCTCCCATCACGGTACTAACCAGACCCAGATCGCGCTCCTTCCAACATCCCAAAAATTAAGTTACGTTTTTGTTAGTTTTTCCTATTGAATTGAGATTACTTGTCTTTTTTCTGTCTTGACAGAAAGAATCTTGTAAATCTAAAAACTTTTTACCGTTGAACAAATCAGACCACAAAATGTAGTCTTTATCTTTTTAGAAAATATGTAGTCTTGTAAGAAAGAGCCCTGCAAGTCACTATTTGACACTTTGAGCTGAGATCTGAGTGAGGGTGGTCCACTCTTGTCCATTTCTGTCTGAAAAGGCTGATCCAAAGATGTGAAAGAGGCCAGAAATATAAACACATCTGGAAAAAATGTATAGAGAGCTAGTTAAATCTGGATTTTATGACATTTTTGGTGGATTAAAAGTTAGGTACACCAGCTTTAACACTACATTTGCTTTTGTTTCTTTGTGTCTGCCAGTATTTAAGCATGAACTCATGAAATCACTCTGTCCACAGACATGAACAGTGACTGATTATGTGAGACCAACATTTTTTAATCTTCCCTTTCCCACATGGTCCATATGGTCCAGTGACACTTTCAAAACACAAAGCCCAATAGAGGTGTAAAAATCTGCTTTGTGTTAGACGACCAAGCGCCGTCTATTTTTATCTTGTCATCTGCAGCACCACTGTGCTTCAAAAGACAGACGCTTTCATGTACAGTACAAACAGTTGATTTTTCATGCGTGTGCCTGAATCAGCATAAACCAGCCCGACTGCTGCCATTGGGACTGAATGGAGTTTGTTCAGGGAAAATAAAGAGGTGATAACATCAAGAGATACAAAGAGAACAGCGTAGGACAGGTGTTTCTGTGACGGCAAACAGGGCGGCTGTCCGATCCCATCGCTCTGACAGATGGAAAGTGTGCCGCAAAATGAAGACAAAGCTGGGTTCTGACAAAAGACTCAAATAATGGCCATCTATTCTCACTCTACTGCTTCACCACCCCAATGGGCACTGTGACATCACCCAAGGCCAGGCATGTGAGTACATTTCCTATAGCCAATTCCATCCATCATCCATTTTCTTCCCTTTAATCCATTTCTGGGTCAGGGGGGTGGCAGTCAGAGCTGCACCCAATGCACTTAGCACCAGCCCCTCACTGATCCTCCTGCAGGGGCTTCAGGCAAAGTGGGGTTAAGTGTCTTGCCCGAGGACACAACGACAGCAGTCATCAGTGGGAGTCGTGAAGTAGGTCTTATGGCGGCCTCGAACCCACGACCCTCAGGCCCAAAAGCCAATTCCTTTAGCCAATCGTTTTGCATAACACATTCATTATTTTACTATTGAAAATATGAACTTATTCACTGAAAATCGAAGGATCTGCTCCCATGGACGGACAAGATATAGATCCAGGACTCAGGCTGTAGGGCAGGAGTCTCCAACCTACGGCTCAGGAGCTACCAGTGGCCAACCCCTTTCAGGTAGCTCCCCAAAGGATTTAGAATTTGCCAAATGATGAATGAATGAATACATGTTGAGTCTATACATATCTATTATAAGTATAAATGTAGGGGTTTACAGTATTATTGTAAATTGATGTGTTCTCTGTTTTGTCAAAATTACTACTTTGATTTTTTTTTAATTTAAACTGCAAAAAGGAGTAGCTCTCTGCCTCTTTTGTCGCATAAAAGTAGCTCTTCGATTGAAACAGGTAGGAGATCCCTGATTTAGGGCAACAACTCAGGCCACCACGTGTTGAAGATTATGGTCTGCTTTAAACAGAAAACACCGTCCAATTAATCCATTTAATAACAACGTATTTGGATACAACACTGCCACAGTTTGTTCTTATTGCATCATCTCATCCTGCAAATAGTACACTGGAATCCACACACAAATAATAAATCACAAATGTAATCCTCTTTCTCTACATACTAACACTACAAACCACTTCTTACAAACTGCTAAAGTGATAGGACTAGTCACAGCCACTCTGTACCAAAACAAATTCCATTTCCGTTCAGACATGTCTTTGCACATCTAGCCACCCAGGGGAATATATTCTCAGCTTGCTACAAAAAACGTCACTGCTGGTATAAAAATGGTTAACATTCAGGGCAGGGTTTCCAGCCATTTCTATAGTCGATGTAAAGAGTTAAGTTGTGACGTGTTCGCAGCGCTGGTCCACATGATCCATATGCATAAAATGAGCCAGGTCAAACAATGTTCTCATAGAGTGGGGACGATCACAAAAGTAATGAATGCTAATCTATGCATGCTTCTGATGAGAGCATGCTTCCCTGTGGAACCATGAAAGGACCAGACTAGACTACTGCAGTGCAACACCGGGGGTCAATAGAGGCAAACTTGGTGATATTCTTTGTTAAATTAAACGTCTAACTAGGTCCAAATAGTGCATTATGCAACTGTTTATGTTGACAGAAAAGTTGATGTTTTAGTCAATTTGACATGGTAGTGACTCAGTGGCTGTATGAGTGGCCAGCATGGTGCCTTAACTTTGTACCCCAGTTGTGTCTACAGAGCTCCAGGATCAATTGTTTTGTAGGTTTTCTGGTGTGAGAGTCCCAAAGCAGAGAAAACATACCAAAAATGCATCCTATAGCATCTTGCAGACCACTGTGATGGAGAGGTAAAGGCACCATGCAGACACTCATACAAGCAAAAATGTAAAGTGTATTATTTTACATTAAAAGTTAAATACATATTCTTTAAAGCTGGAGTATTTTTATTTTTATTATAAAAATACGTGGTACTTGATATAAGTTATTGTATTGTATTGTACAGTATGTGATACAATAACATGGGATACACTGTTCTTTTAATAAAGAAACAATTCTATATCACTTTCGATTTCATATACGTTCTAATGCACTTTGTTATTTGTATGCAAACAGCTAAGATTAGTTTGCAGAGAAATTGTTTACTTACCCTGTTTCCTACTGCACTAAAAATGAAGTAGCCAAAATGGCGCAGTCCGGATATGAGAACCAATGCAAGATCTGACGGCCCGAATGATTTTTGCACAACTCAAACCACGAGTCAAGTATGCAACATTCCTCAACTTCAGAAGCTAGATCCAAATGCAAAACAAATAAATAAAAGCGGACCCATTGGGCACGCATACAGGAGCGGGTGCACAGAGGCTCAAAGCTCTACGAGTGGTTCAAAAAAATAACCACAAAAAATTCAGGAAGTGAAATTATAGTGGCTTCATTGAGACATGTTTCAACAGCAGGAAGTGAACATGTGCAGTTGAGCAAAGGTTTTGACAGAAAATGACTTGATGAACTTCGATGCTTAGACCTCAGCAGTTTGACAGTTGTGACAGAAATATTACACTGGTGGAATTGGAGGGAGGTGCAGATGCGGAAAAAGAGGCCAGTGGCATGTGGTGGAAAAAGTAGAGTATATGGTCAATCAAGATGGGAGTGGGTTGCATTTAAGATTGATGGCGATTGAAATGTGTGAGGGTTGTGTTTCTCTGTTTCTCCCCCCTCTCTTTTTGCTTCTGCTGGATGGTGCAGCAGACACACATGCAGGCAATTTACACCTGGCTTCGTAAGCTCAGTTTGGACTGCTCTTCAGTGCCAGATAATTCCGTCACATATGTAAGTGTCTTTATGCTCCTGTTTCTGTGATTATTTCTGTTTTTTACTTATGCAGTTTTTTTCCCAGATCTCTGATTGCTGCACCTCTATGTCTCCAGCCAGCCACTGTCACCTCAGCCTGCCAGCAGTTTGTTATTCTACTTTTTGTTTTGGACTGTAAATTAATTTGTGTTCTTCGTCAGCCTGTTCTCAACTCTGCTTTGGGGTCCACATTTGAAGAAACATAACAGAAATGGACAAAAAAAGAGGATAAATCATTCAGTTATAGGATGAAGTCATGAGTGATGAGAGAGAGCTGTATGGTCAGACAATGTTTGGGCCTGTGTATGAGTGTGTGTTACTATTACTATTGTTCTTTTTGTAATGATCCATTTTATTTTTGCTACTACTGGACATGTGAATTTCTCCCTTCGGGGATCAATAAAGTATCTATCTACTATACCAGAACTGAGATTGTAGCTTTGAGACAGAAGGGACAGAGTTATATTTGTGCCAGAAGTTTCTGATATTTGTGTGGCTCACAAACTTAATCTAAAAACAACTCCAGGTCTGTTTTTGATGAGGTGTGCGTGCGTATGTGTGTGTGTGTGCATGTACACTTCAGGATGTGTTTATGGATCTTGTTTATTATGTACATGTTTAAAATATATAATAACCTATCTACCTATAGCCGTTCTTCTATTCAGGTCACTAAATTGTCACTATGTAAAAAGAATACTTCACTATTTGAGTCTTTGGGCTGAGAGTGGATTTTCTGAGCTGCTATAAAAATTGTTTTGAATTGCTGTTTTACAACACAGCGCAAAAAAGCGACTCTATATATAGAAACAGTGTTAAGCTTACAGTGGCTCTAAACCTCTCCTTATGGGTCAAACGTTACTGCTGAATAACGTGCGATTATCAGCAGAGAGATTATAGCATTAATATCCCACTGTGTGTGTTCTGAATCCAGTCATATTAAAGTCATGTGTAAGCTGCAGGAGAGGAGAGAATGATAATGTCAGCATCTTGTTTTTATT